AGGTACAGGCTTGCACAGCCCTTGTCCAGCAGGCACAATGCCCTGGCTTCCATCTCAGCACTACTAAAAGAAGTTTACTAAATATAAAATCATAAGACACTTTGGTGTGTTGCTGAGGGTCCAACTTAAGTTGGAATGCTAAAAGTGATTAAGAAATAGAAACTAAAAACCAACCAGTCTGCTGTTCAACTTTTGGGTCTGGTGTCACTTTCAGGGACTTATCCTCTTCTAAAAACAATGTTATTTTCAAAGGGCTAGACTTTGTCATGTTGCATTCAGTGAAACCTAAAAAAAAAAAATTTTTTAAGAAATAGCATACTAACATATATAATAACCCAGATTTTTAAAACTAGGCATTACATATTTTTATTATAAAACAACACAATCATTTAAAAATTCAAATCTAGGACTATATAAAACATGGTCAGAACATCTGTGTCCTCTCTCTCTCTTTACTTTTCTCTCTGAATGTGGGCTCCCATGCTCCCTAGGCTGGCCTCACATGCCTGGGCTCAAGTGCACCTCTGCCGCAGCTTCTTAAGCAACTGGGCCTACAGGCACAGACACCCCCAGCCACCCTCTCTTAAATTTCTATCTCCTTTCCTACTGAAAGAGAAGGGAGATAATAATACTATCAAGTGACTGTTTGTTTCTCCTTTTTCCCTTCTAGGCACACATATATTTTATTTTCTCGGAGGGTGATCATGTTATATTATACTCAGCAATTAGCTTTTTACTTTTAAAAAGTGTCAATAAAATCGTTTTAAAAGTAGGACTAGGAAGAGACAACCCAAATATAATAAGGAACATATATGGAAAGCCCTCAGCTAACATTATGCTATGTTAAAAGATTGAAAGCTTCTTCTCTAAGATCAAAAACAAAGTGAAGATTCCTGCTACCCCATTTCAACACATCCTTTTAAGCCCTAGCCAAAGCAATTAGGCAAAAAATAAAATAAGGGTATCTATATTAGAAATGGAGAATTAATATTTATCTGTTTACAGATTATATGACCTAATATATTGAAAATCCTAAGGATCCCCAAAAAAAACCTGTTGGAACTAATAAATTGTTGTTATAATACATAAAGTCACTGCTTAAAAATCAGTTGATCTAAATTCAGTGGTGCATGTCTATAATCCCAGCTCTTCAGAGAAAGCTGAGGCAGAAGGATTATAAGTTTAAGACTAGCCTGAGCAACTTAGTGAGACTCTATCTCAGAACAAAAATTTTTAAATGGGGGGAGGAATGATGGTGCACACCTGTAATTCCAGCACTAGGGAGGCTGAGGTAGGAGGATCACCACAAGTTTGAGGCCAGCCTGCCCTACAAAGTGAGTTCAAGGTCAGACTGAACTGTATAGTGAAACCCTTTCTCAATAAATAAACAAATAAATAAATAACGCTGATCAATAAAATAGAATAGAAAGCCCAGAAATAAACCATCACTTTATGATCAAATCGTCTTTAACAAGGGCACCAGGCTGATTCACTAGAAAAGAATAATCTTTTCAACAACAGTGCTGAGAAAACTGCATATCCTCATGCAAAACAATGAAGGTGGACTCTTATCTTTTACCACACATAAAAACTAAGCCAGGGGGCCTGTTGGTTAGCTCAGTTGTTTAAGTGCTTTAGTTCAGTTGTTTAAGTGCCTGCTTAAGCAAAGGCAGTCAGGTTCAGGATACTGTG